CAGACTGAGCCTGAAGGGAGGGAATTCCTAGCACACAGGGCAGGGAGGTGGAGGCGCTGGCAAGGGTTCAGTCGGGCATTAGAAGGGCGGGCAAATCGGAAATACCCTTGTCTCCAGGGAGGGCACCCTGGACAGGCCCCAGCCCTGCTGCAGAATCCGCCCCTCTGGCCACCTGCCAGGCCTTCAAGCCAGCTCCCAGGGCTCTTCCAGGACCCGGCCCTGGACCTGCCCTCCAATGCTCTCCCAAGGAATGGGCTTCACACACCCTCCTGCCACTCTCCTCAGCAAGCATTGGGCCTGAACGCCACATGCCACCTGCTGGGGTCAGTTTAGTCATTTTTATGTTATTGTGTCATTTTTTGTTATTAAAAAATCATACTGCAGGGAAAGCAGGTAGCGTGGTGGTTAAGGGCTCTGAATTCCCACATGGCCAACCACTGTTCTAATCCCGGACCTGGCGGCTTGTTTTCTCACTTTCCATCTCTCTCTCTGTCTCTCTCTAGTCAAATTAAAATAAATAAATGAATAAAATAAGTAAAATAAATAAAGTTAAGTAAAATTATTCTTTTAAAAATATCATACTGTGGGGGCCAGCGGATGGTGTAGTGGTTAATGATCTGGACTCCCACGTAGTCAACTGCAGTTTGAGTTCCAGACCTGATAGCTTGAAATTCACACTAGACACATGTGCATGCCCAAAATCTCAAGAGGAAAATGAAAGAGAAGGGATTGTGGCGTGGGCATCCTCTCCAGGGGGTGATTTTTCACTTTCTTTCTTTCTCTCCATCTCTGTTTCCCTGGCGAGTGCACATATCCTGTAACAAAAATCTCTTAAAACAAAAATTATACTGGGGCCAGCAGGTGTTGTGGAGGTTAAAGTGGCTGGATCCCACACGGCTGACTGACTGGTTCAAGTCCTGGATCCAGTGACTTAAAAAGAGTGGCAAAACATGGATGTGCAGGCCTACAATCCAAAGAGAAGAATGGAGAAGGGACTGCAGCATGGTCATTACTGATGGGGGATGATTTTCTACTCCCCCCTCTATGTCTTTCTCTGTCTCCCCTCAGTGAGCACACATGCCTTACAGCAAACTAAAAAAAAGAAAAAATCAAACTGAGGTTGGGGAATAAGCAAATCGTAGACATGCTCTGCTCCCCCTACTGTCCTTCCCGGTCTTGCTCCTCTGTTTGTTGTTTTTCCCAACTATTTGTCTTTAACTTTGTTTAAAGGGTCTTTAGTCCAACACTTTTTTTTTTTTTTTTTTTGGAGAGGTTTTTGCTATAGGGCACGTGTGCTCGCCAGAAAGACACAGAGAGACAGAAAGACAGAAAGTGAGAAATCACCCCCCAGGGTGAATGGCCACGCCACAATCCCTTCTCTTCCATTTTCCTCTCAGGATCTTGGGCACGCACGCACACGTGTCCGGCGTGAGTTTAAGCCACTGAGTCCAGGACTTGAACCATGGTCGACTACATGGGAGTCCAGCAACATAACCATTACGCTAACTGCTGGTCCCTATCCAACACTTTTTAAAAAGAAAAAAAATTGTCATCAGTCTTTTCTTGTTTAGTTTCTAAGTTGCGTATGTTGTCTAAGTTGCGTGCAGGACATCCCCATTCTCAAGTTTGCAGATTTAATAGACACAAAAATGAAAAGTCATCTGATGATGATGAAGATGTACGTGGGAATGTCTTTGACCTAACTCGTACGTATTGTATCCAAGCTGGGAAACGCATGTTGTACACTGTGAAGAAGTATAGTGATTGGAGCCAGCAGGTGGCTTGGTGGTTAAGGTGCTGGACTCCCACATGGCCATGGTTCCAATTCCTGATCTAGTGACTTGAAAGTCACATAAGTGTGTACGTGCCCAAAATCCCAAGGGGAGAATGGAGGAGAAGGGATTGCATCCATCACCCACTGGAGGGTGATTTCTCATTTTCCTCCAATGAGTGCATGCACCCAATGGCAAAAACCTTAAAAAAAAAAAAAAAAAGTACAGTGACTAAATATAATTTTTAAAAAATATATACTAAACCCAGCAAATGTTATAATGGTTATGCCACTGGACTCCCACATAGTCAACTGTGGTTAGAGTCCTGGACCCAGCGACTTAAAACTCATGCCACAAGAGGAGAATGGGGGAGAAGGAATTTTGTGGTATGGCCACCCCCCACCACCACCAGGGGTAGTGATTTTTTGCTTTCTATTTCTCTGTCTCTCTCTCTCTCTCTCTCTCTCTCTCTCTCTCTCCAGTGAGTGCATGCACTCTACAGCAAAAATCTTTCTAAAAAAATTATATTTTCCTCTATTTATTTTATTGAACACACACACATTTATTTATGTATGTATGTGTGTGTGTGTGTATTTTTTAAGTGCATAAACATAAGCTATAGGTGTATTAAAGCTCTTCAGTGCATTTGGCTTTTTGGGGTTTTTTGGGGTTTGTTTTCGTTTTTTTGGTATGGTGTGAGGTAGGGGGTCAGGGTTGACTTTTACTAAATTGCTGCCCAAAGGCCACAACACAGGGCCATTATTATCTTTCCCTGTAGCTTGGAAAATGTCGCCACAGCATCTGGTCTTTTCCATTTCACTGAACCCTACCTCATCCAGGTCAACCCTGAGCTCTTCAAATTGCTCTAACTTTGGACCATGCCACATGTGTGCTCTAGCAAATACCTCCTCTTTATTTTTCTATTTCAAAACTTCTTGAGTGTTCCCAATTTCCTTTCCAGGTGAACTCTAGAATCAGCTTGTCAAGCTGTCTATATAAAATGCTGCTGCAGGGACCAGGAGTTGGCATAATGGCTATGTTGTTGGACTCCCATGTAATTGACTGCGGTTCGAGTCCTGGATCTGGTGGCTTAAGCTCATGCCGTACGCATGTGCATGCGTGCCCAAGACCCCAAGAGAAGAATGGAGGAGAAGGGATTGCAGCATAGCCATCCCCTCCCACCCAGGGGGTGATTTCTCACTTTCTGTCTCTCTGTCTCTCTCTGTCTTTCTGGCAAGTGCACGTGC